TTTTTTAAAATTTGACTATTATGTAACCAACCCCCTACCCCACACTTATGTGATGCAATGCCCTCATTGCATATTATGCATAAAAACAGAAAAATAAAGAGGGAATTGGAACAAACTCCCCTGGGATAGCAGTGGATAGGTTGATCACTCTCATTTAAGCTCCATCTTCAATAAACTTCATACATGGGAACATCCCATCCATGTCTCGTGTGGGTCGCTCTAATATGCGAAAATCGGTGTAAGATCTTCAAGAATGGATATGGAATTAGAAGGATGCAAGTGGTATAAGTATTAGCATCAAATCAGCAGTCGTTCGGCTCAAAAAATGAATGACTCGTCGAGTCTGACGATGGACTCGCCGAGTAGCAGCGCGCCGTCTCAAAATATCTGGAAATACAAAGCGACTCGTCGAGTCAGCTTAGTGCACTCGACGAGTTGGCCACTGAATGAAAAATCTTGGTATGTGGCAACTGTTTTAGCCTCTCACAACTTCGTTAACCCTTCCTCACATGCGGACTCAATCGCTCATACCCCTAAGACCGGACTTGACACTTTGACGATAAAAACTCGCTTCCTTGACTCGCTCTCACACGTAAAAACATCCATGCTTTACATCTCTATACCATCCTAAGCAAGCAATCAAAATGCAATCCTGAAAATAACTAAAGCAAACAACTATTAAACATAATAATATCTCAAAGCATACACACCAAAAACAAAACAAAATAAAAATTGAAATTGTTTAAACAAAAACACAAAGGTCAATCCTCATCTTCCTCCTCATCATCGTTGGCTCCACTTCCCCCAGCTCCGCTTTGTCGTGCACCAATCCTCTCGTCCCACGATGGAATGTATGGATAATTCCCACCATCAATATGTGGAATATTGAAGTGGTCAAAAAGTCGTATGTGGGGTTGGTTGCTAAAATTCAGCCCCCTCGCCATTTGATCCTGCATCCGCCTCATCTCTACATTGTACCAATCCATTGGTACGTCTTCATTCTCGACTTGAATCACTGGCGGCTCGTCCTCCACATCCCGTTCCCTTCGTGATCTCACCCTCCTTCCCGGTGCTTCGGGACCTACAACTGGGTCATCATTCGGGATGGCATAATGGCCACCACCATAGTCTTCAATGATTCGTGCTCTGCGGAAAAGAATGGGATTAAATGGGGGTGTCGGGATCAATGTCAGGAGGTTCCAGGCACCACGGTTCATCAACCCGAATGAATTAGCCAATCGAGTGACAAACATTCCTCCATTGATACAAGATGTTTTGCGATCTTTGACCGCACCCTCCAAGAGGTATGAAGCAATGCACCACGGGATGTTGCAAAAGATGTTTGGGCGTGATAATGCTCCATAGGTAGAAAACATCAAGGTTAGAAACCTTGTCATCGTCCTTCCTTTGGTTGATTGTGGAGGAAATAAGGCGGTGAATGAGGCGGTGAGTCGGGGATCGGATGCTCCCTTCTTGTGCTGACTTCGGGATATAAACTTTATTCCCTATAGTATTCCACCAACCCGTGCTAGTAACTCCATCGGCGAACACCATGTGAGTGGTTGCCAAAAAGACCCGAAAGAGGTTCGTTGAAACCAAAGGTTGATCATAAATCCCTAGTCGGCAAGCAAGGTCCACCACCGAGCATTGATGATACTCGCCCCCAAGACAAAAAGTGAAGCTTGCCGGATGATATACATCTACTCCACCGGTAAATGATACCGTGGAGAAGAACTCCAAGCAAAGCTCTAAATATACCGGCTCTTGTATGCGGAAGACCCGGCTCCACCCATCACATATCATCGTCTCACCGTCATGTTGGAACTCCTTTAAAATACGGAGCTAATTCTTCTTCATATCGTACATTTTGCAACCACTCCCAATCAATTCTGTTCGGTACATATATCTCCTTCTTTTTTATATCGGAAAGCTTCTTCTTCCACTTCCGCATTGTTGAAGCGGATTCGATTTGCGGGAAATTTAACCATGGAAATTCCCCTTGGCTACCACTTGAAGATTGTCCTCTTCTAAACATGATTCCTGCAAAACATATAAACCAGACCCAGAAAACACAGAATAATAATTAAAAAAAAAAAATCGAACTGTTTCTGTAAATCGACTGGACTCGTCGAGTCCATGCCCGACTCGGCAAGTCGCGCGACCTGTACGAGTCGGTCGACGGGTCTCACAAAATTGAACCATGTAACCTTTAAATTCTTGCAAGGGTTTTGTTCAGGGACTTCCTACTAAGTAATAAGGCCACAATAAACGTTCAAAACAACAATATTCATGAAAAAATCGAAAACCTAGAATTTAATTACTTTTCAAAAACGGGTTTTTTTCATGAAATTGCAAGTATGGATGACCTTATAATCACATTCTATCTAGCAATCAAGAAGAAAGTTGTTACCTTTAGAGTTTAAATCTTGAGAATTTGGAAGAAAAGTTGAAGAACACTTGAATGCTTGAGAGAGAGTTGTAGAGAGAGAGGCACCCGGCGAGTGTGGTTGTGAAAACTGAATTTTTAGGGTTAAAACCCTATTTGATGTAAAAGTAATTTCGAAATGATTATTTTTTTGTAAAAAAAATCGACTCGTCGAGTCAGGGTCAGACTCGGCGAGTCCAATCGCGCAGTCAAAGTTTTTTTTTCTGAAATCAGTATATACTCGTCGAGTCAGGGTCAGACTCGGCGAGTCTCTTGTAAAACATTACTAATTTTTAAAATTTTGTTATTTATTCAAAATCTTTTCACCCCACTCTTAAGCTAGGCGCTCCCTTAAGCAGACAAGTCCGATGATTTGAAAGATTAAAATTGAAACACAAAACAAAAATAATAAAAAAATAAAGAGTAAAAGAAAGCAAACTCTAACGACGGGTTGCCTCCCGCCAAGCGCTTCTTTTTGTGCGAGTCTTTAGCTGGACTCCCAACCTAATAAACTTCTAATAAATTCGATGCCCATCCATCCGTTGCATTGAATATCTTCTTTGGTGGACCAATTTGTGAAATTTGGCTCTTTACTTCTAAAATTGGCCAAACGAGCTTGAATACATAAAACCCAAGAATATTGACAAGGGTTGGAACCGGTTGGATACTAATTATAAATGGATCATGATTTAGAACTTTCTCCAAAGTTGGAATCGTCACCCATGCTTTGAAACACAAACCGGAAATACAGGGGGGCATGTCATGGTAATGGTCAAACCACAGCTTGGTTCCTGCAACTCAGCTTGTTCTTGTTCTTCGTCTGACCCCTCTGCCAGCAACCTTTCTAGTTCCTCCAAATCTCTTTCTGGATTAAATTCTTCATCTTTTAACTCTAGCTCTTGTGACTCAGATTGTTCTTGTGTGTTGGGCAAGATGTTATCTAACCATCTATCAAATTTCTTCAAATCTTCATCCCATCGACACTCTCATCTTCTTGCTCAATTTCCTGTGCTACTTCTTCAATAAAAGCATCAAAAGCATCGAGATTTGGAAAATACATAATAAATAAAAATAAAAATAAACTAAATAAACTAAAAAAATCAATAAAAAATAATAATAACAATTAGCAAATAATATTAACTATTTAGAACCGTTCCCCGGCAACGGCGCCAAAAACTTGATGTGTGTAAAACTCACTTAGTTTTAATCCTACTTTAATTATCAAATAACACACAAAAGGCAGTGAACCTATCAATTGTGGTATAGCTAAATAAGCAGGGTATCGAACACAGGGAACGGCAAATTAAATTAAAAACTAATTCTATCTAAGTTAATTAGCAAATAAGGGTTTTTCTCTAGTTTTACAAGACTAGAAACTTACTAACTAAAACTAATGCAAGACTAGAAAAGAACAAATTAACTAGATTCAATAATGGGAAAGAAACTTCTGTTTAGTTCAACTCGGTTAACTTTATGGTTGATTTTAAGGTAATAGTGCAATGGATTAATTCTTTCGTTGGTTACCGATTCAAGTGATTAAGTTTGTGTTCACTACCCTAATCCTTAGCAAATAAACTAATTCAAACAGTGGCCAATTGCTTAATTTAATTATATTTACTAGATTAATTATTCGGGTTAAGTTAGACTTGCAATAGCTAATTAATTTGTTATTCTTAATTAACCTCTTGTTTGATGGTCATCTTACAAGCTTGCACATGAGTTTACTCAATTTCCTTATTAATCCTAGTTTCATGTTCATTAATTCTAGACATATGTATAGTGGTCACATATCATATGAGGTTGATAATCAATAGATGTTCATGCTAATCAATTATCTTCCTATTAACAGAAATTAATTATCATTCATACACAAGGTTCTTTAGCAAGCTAAAATAACAATTAATCACCAACTTGGAATTAATCCTACCAATCAATCAAACCATATTGTCAACTTTGTATTCCCAAACAGAAGTCTAAAGAAATTAGTTCATAACTAAGGTAAATAACAGCAAACAAATAAGTTCAAGTTGCTTAATCATGTTGACAAAACAAAAGAATTAAGTAGAATGGTGAAATTACGCCTTAATTACTCCCGGATTGGATTCTAGCTTCCTTGGTCGACTTCTAGGGTTCTTCTGGCTTCTTATTCGCAGCTAAGCACTTCTGAAACTTCCCAGAATTCTCTTTTCTCAAATTGTAGAGTTATCTTTATATATGCGTTCCGACTCGTCGAGTCATATGGTGACTCGTCGAGTCCCTCTCACAATAGTCGTAATCCGATAACTATCTTGACTTCCGAATGCTTATCTTCTGAATCCGCGACCGGACTCGTCGAGTCAAGGGGCAACTCGACGAGTAGAAGCCTTTTATGGGTGTTTTCTTTCTTCTTTCCACTCTTGAGCTCCTAACCGCTTCTCTTGCTTCCTTTCGCTTCCGAGCTTCATCTTTGGACTGAAAAACATAATTTAACACTTT